TTTTTTTTTTTTTTTTTGCCAAGTCATGTATCTCCACTCTTGACTCAGCAGCTATTTTGATGAAAACTGTCAGGTTCCATCTAGTCTACCATGAAGAGATTAGAAAAGCAAGTAGTTAGGGCACCTTGCAACTCTTGATTACTTTTCCCTTGACTTGGAGCAGGAGCAGTGGGGACACTGTTTTTAGTTGACTGTGGTGTGGGAACTTCTTCTTCATCTGTTAAGTCCCCCATATCTCCAAAGAGAGTGGCCAGATTTTCCTTTCGGTCCTCAGTCTCTCCCACTTCTCCATCAGCAGGCTCCTCTGAGTAAGATTCACCGTCATCATCTGCATCAAAGAGCTCATCAAATGCATCAGGTTCACGATCTTCCTGGGTCAAGCGGTGACTCTCTTCTGAATTACAGTCCAGGGCTAACTCATTCTCCTCCAGCAATGCAGTCAGCAGAGACAAATCATCTTCCTCCCCTGGGGAAAAAGACAAAGGACAGAAAGTGAACCTACCTGAGAAAAACTGCTAATGACAAGCAGTTAATTAAAACACTCAACATTAATAAGGCAGTTAAAATGGCTCACCATTTTGCCTGGTAAATTGTTGATCTTCTGTCCACCTTTCCTCTTCCTAAGTGCTTATAGGGCACTGGGTGAAGGAGAAAGGGGCCAACACCTGCACAGTGACCACACCGGGCCGTTCACTGGGCTGATCTTTCTCCCTGTGCTACTTCAGCTAGTGAGATAACTAGCTGCATACCAACTTCCATGAAATCCAACCCATAAGGGAATAACTCAAAAATACACTAAACATGCATTTAGGCTTTAATTGAGGGATAAAAAAATTTCAAATGTAGAAAAGGTACAAACAACCATATAAAAAGTACTTATATTTCATCAACCAGAATGAGTCATTTATGTTTGCTTCTTGCCTTTACGTTAGATAAGTAAACTTAAAAAAAAAAAGTTTAGGGGCGCCTGGGTGGCGCAGTCGGTTAAGCGTCCGACTTCAGCCAGGTCACGATCTCGCGGTCCGTGAGTTCGAGCCCCGCGTCGGGCTCTGGGCTGATGGCTCAGAGCCTGGAGCCTGTTTCCGATTCTGTGTCTCCCTCTCTCTCTGCCCCTCCTCCGTTCATGCTCTGTCTCTCTCTGTCCCAAAAATAAATAAACGTTGAAAAAAAAAAAAAAAAATTAAAAAAAAAAAAAAAAAGTTTATAGTTTATCATGCCAAATCTTTTTTTCAATGTGTATATGGTTTTTTTTATATGCATATATGAATTTTTTTATCGTGCCAAATCTTATCACAATTCCTAACCACTGCCTCCACACCCTACTGCAAGAAGTATCCTAATTTTGGTATATCAGTCTAGTCCATTTTTCAAAATTTTAATATAAATACATAAGTATTCATAATCCATACAGAGTATTTGGTTGATTTATAATATTTTCGGGACACCTGGGTGGCTCAGTTGGTTAAGTGTCTTACTTCAACTCAGGTCATGATCTCACGGTCTGTGAGTTCGAACCTGGTATCAGGCTCTGTGCTGACAGCTCAGAGCCTGGAGCTTGCTTGAGTTCTGTGTTTCCCTCTCTCTGTCCCTCCCTCACTCATGCTCTGTCTCTGTCTCTCTCTCAAAAATGAACAAACAGTAAAAAATAAAATACTTTCATAAATTGTTGCACACTGTAGGTATTCCTCTGTATCCTGGTTTAATTCAACATTGCAGGTTAAGACCGACCTGAATCAAAACATACAGTTCTAGTTTCTTTCAATGGCTATATGGTAATTCTTTTCCAATTCTTTCCCACCACAAACTATGCAGCAACCATGACGATGTCTTGCATACGTGTGACAGTTTCCCAGGAATACCTAGCACGAGTGGAATTGTTGCGCTGCTGGGTGCACATTTTCCGACTTGCCCAGATACGGCCAAACCTGCTCCCAAAGTGATTACTCACTAGCACTATGCCAGTGCCACTTCTCCCTAACACCTCACCAATATCTGATGTCACTTTAAGTTTTTTTGCTAGTCTGATGGAGGATTTTAAAAGGCATCTCAGTGTTCTGATTTGCATTTCCAGAGAAATCTCATGAGGTAAAGAATTGTTTACATTTATTGGCCCTTAGGATTTCTTCTTTCTTTCTTTCTTTCTTTCTCCTTTCTTTTTCTTTTGGTGCCCATTTTTTCCCCGTTTGGGTATTAATTCTTTATAAAGTCTGAGCCATTTTAAGACATTAAGGATATTTCATGCACTGTGCCCCCCTTCACCTGAAAGACAAGAGTTAAAGTCCAGAAACATCAAGGGTCTGTTCAGGACCATATGGCAACACAGGTCAGCACAGGAGCCTGGCTTAGGATGGAGATCTCTAGGCCAGCAACCCAATATTCTTTGCACCGCTCTACACTCTCTTACCAGATGGAAAAGAGCCAACGCACAAACTCATGGGCTAGAATCTGATGAAAGGGTCTAAGGCTTAAAGTTAGATAATGATCTGCTGGAATTTCTTGCTCAATAATCCCTGCAAAACTGGAGGGCACAGCAAGAAGAGGTGACCTGGCTCCCTGTGCTCTGGGTGAGACTGCCACATTCCCTCAAGGGAGCCAAGAGGCCTTCCTCTCTCCTGTTCTTAGCTGCTGAAGAGAGCACACTTCAGGAAGAGGCTTTGGTTCACACCACTCATAGTTGATGATAAATGTTGCCCAGAGCTAATCTGTGATGCCTCCCAGCCCGGTTCAACTCAGTCACCACCAATAATCCTGTCTTCATGTTATGCTGACCCAACCTCCCTGCTTCATTTATACACTGAACCCTCTTCCTCTCAACCCCCCAATGATGTCAGCCTATAATCATCAGCTCTCCTCCCCACATCACCCATGATTCCCTGTCTTCTGGAGCATTCCCATCAGCATATGAATTCTTTCTAGTGTCTTCCATCATACCAACCAACTACCTGATTATCTTCCTACTTATTTGTTCTTATCTTGCTCTCTGTACTAGAATGGAAGCAGGAATGTTGTGCAACCGTGTTTCTCTAGACCAGATTTCGTCCACACTGGACCAAACTGTTAGCACTGTGCCAACCAAATGAATGTTTATTAGATAACAACGGTTTCTTAGAGGACACATACCCATTCACCACTTATTTTCATAACTATCTCATAGCAAATAATTATACTTTATATTATATTAACCGCCCTGAAGGTAATTTGATGATTTCAGGAAACAGGACGCTATTATTATACCAAAGGTATAATCAATGTCACGTGTTATCACAGTGTGAAGAATTTCAATAATATTTGGTTCTACTTTTTTGAAAAAGGAAGAGAGTAATAAACTTGGATTTAAAACCAAAATCTAGGGGCGCCTGGGTGGCTCAGTTGGTTGAGCAGCCGACTTCGGCTCAGGTCACGATCTCGCAGTCCGTGAGTTCGAGCCCCGCATCAGGCTCTGTGCTGACAGCTCGGAGCCTGGAGCCTGTTTCGGATTCTGTGTCTCCCTCTCTCTGACCCTCCCCCGTTCATGCTGTCTCTCTCTGTCTCAAAAATAAATAAACGTTAAAAAAAAAATTTAAAACAAACAAACAAAAAAAAAAACACCAAAATCTAGTTTCAGATAATGAGCTCATTATGTAACCAGAAAAATAATGCATTTTATTTGTCAGCATCTCTTTACAGCCAGCACAATCACTGCTAAGCTACTCCCAGGCTAAGCTCTGTTAATCAGAGTAGCCTCTTTTTATTAGGTAAATATTGTGCATACACCTCTGCAAAATAAAATGAGAAAGGACTACAAGAATTTAACTCACAGCTACACTGAAGCGACTTCAACATTAACTGTGAACTCTGAAGTCAGGCTGCCTGGGTTCAAATCCCTACTGTGGCAGTTTCACCTGGGACAAATTACTAAACATCTGTCTCCTGGTGTAAAAAATATGGCTGCTCATAGGGCACCTGGGTGGCTCATTCGGTTGAGTGTCCGACTTCGGCTCAGGTCATGATATCATTGTTCACGAGTTCAAGCCCCACATCGGCCTCTGTGCTACAGCTCAGAGCCTGGAGCTTGCTTTGGATTCTGTGTCTCCCTCTCTCCTTGCTCCTCTCCTGCTCACAATCTGTCCTCTGTTCTCTCTCTCAAAAATAAACATTAAAAAACAAATAACATTCTCTGATTGAAGTGAGATCTTTTCTGAACCACTCAGACAATACTTGAGGGTGAGGTAGCCATTTTCACTATTCTGCAAGTAGGATAAATAACAAGTCCATGGACAAAAGGGTGGTTTTCCATGAAACACACATAATTTGAGACAGCTGTCAGAACTTACCATCCATGCTGTCAAGAGAACAGTTGTGATAGAGAACTTCAAAGGAGAATCCAGTGCCCAGGAGATGGCAGGAATGTCGAATCTCGGCTATGAAATCAACATTAGAAAAGTCACCCTTGATTGTTCTCGCTTTCTCACATCCCATATATAAAGAATCAGGGATCTCACAAATCCTACAGGGTTGAGGCTGAGGATTCGTCCAAAATCTGACTATTTCTACCCCCCCCACCCACCCCTTTTATCTTGTCTTCAAACTATGGTGTAGAAACTCAGTTGAGCTCTGGAGCAGTTTGCTGGGTACTAGAGCACATGGATGAGACTGACTGTGAACAAGTATTATTGAGAATGGCCTAAATATTAGGGCTATTATCCCATGTTATTTACTGTGACACATTTGATGGCTCCCTTATCCACAGCAATCTAGTGTGTGGCTCTACTTAGTTGCAACCTTCGTCACATCAGGATTTCAATTCAATACTACTTAGCAAAATGCAGAGGCGGCAGAGCTAATTAGGGTAGATTCATGTTATTGTGTGCACTTTCCTTTTTTTCCTTTAAATGATTTTAGTGACTGCAAGAAAAAAGCTCAACCGATTTTGTCTAGGCTCTTATTCAATGAATATAAGCTTCTATAGCTGGCTTTGGGAAGTGCAAGGTCAAGTATTAATTACGATGCTTTCTTTTTATTCATTCGACAAATACTTCCATGGACCTATTGTGTGCTCCCCACTGTGTTGTCTCCTGGGAAATCTGCTGGATTGTAAGCTTGTTGAAGGGTAGCAAACGGTCTCACTCACCTCTATAACCAACCGCCCTTCCCACTCCCCCCCCTTCATACTCTACCTCACCCTCACAACCAGGACCTCCCAACAACTATCGGTTCTATCTCCAAAACAGTGCTCAATCTTTTGTCTGAACCATGAGCTTCCTGTATCGGTCTCTGTGTCTCTGTAATCTCATTTCCATACAGCAGCCACAGTAGTCTTTTCTTTCCTTAGTAATTTCTGAGGAATATAAGCCAGATAGTAGTATTCTCTTAACTAAAATTCTTTAACAATTTTTCATTACCATCAGAACAAAATTCAAAAGTCTGTGAGTTAAGTGGATACTCTCTCTCTTGCCTACTTCTACTCAGACTAGCCTGCCTACAACTTCTTGAACACAGAGAGTGCTCTCAGGCCTCACGCTCTTTGGAAAGTGCTCCCCTAGCTCCTTCTCACTCTTCAGTTTCCCCTTAAGCATGGAGTGTTCCGAGCCTTCCAGACCACCCTATCTGACCGGCTCCGCGGCGCCCGCCCAAACCTCATCCTTTTCGTGACTTCACTGCACTTTCCACTGTGGTGTGCGTGTTATCTGTTATTCTCTTTAGATTCTAAGCTTCACGGGGGGATAAGTAATGTGTGTTTGGAGGCCTGCACATGGCACACACTCAGTAACTTCAAGCAAATCACGAATTGAAAACAAAAAATGAAAAAAATAAAAGTCCCCACGGCATGTATTTTAAAAGGTTACTTGAGAAAGAACCCAAACCTGGTCCCTTAAGCAGAGAGGATGGCCCGACGCCTGGTACCTCCTTGGTGCCTTTAAGGCGCCCCTACCTTTCGGTCGCTCTGCACCCAGAGCCCACCCGGCCGCGCGGACACCGCGCTCGCCCGATTCCAGTTCTCCCTCACCTGATCGCCTCGGGCTCCGCGCTTCTCGGCCTCGGAGCTCTCCAAACTCTCCCGCAGACCCGCATGGCGGGCCCCCTACCTCACCCCCGGGTGACCACCCACACACCCAAACCCCAGCTGCTTACCCTACTCGGCACCCCTTCCAGACCTACAGCCAGACCCGCCAAAATTCCAACTTGGCTCCACCCCCCCCGTCTGACGCCAGACGCACGCCGACTTAGGGCCGCGCTGATTGGCTACGTCACTTTCTTGGCGACAACTATCTGGCAGAGATGGTAAAAGGCCCATCTTGCATAGAGCGATCTGATTGGCTCACGTGACCGGGCGCCCTCTTTGTTGGGGGCAAGAAGACTTCCGGTCGGTGACGTCCTGCGCTCCTTTAGATAAAGTGGTGTTGCGGTGCCTCCCAGCGCTTGGAAGTTTAAGTGTTCCTGTAGGGTGTTTTTACAGGAGGTCGGAACAGAATTCCAGACACTCTCCCGGACTGTCATCCACTCCTTTCCACGAAGCCAGGCGGAAGGTAACGCTTGAGGCCGAGAGGCCTGCACAGAGACGCTTAAACCGGAAGCACATTGCAAACGTTTCTCCTGCCCTCACAAATGTCCTGTGGTAGGACTGATCCTAGAGAAGTCTGACTGAACGTGCTGGATGATTATTTAACAACCCCTTGTGTTCCACTGAGATGATTGGACTCAAAATCAAAACTCTGGTTCGCTTTGAACTCTGCCTGGCCTTGGGGAACTAACTTCTCCCTTTGGGCTTCTGCTTCACCATCTGTGAAATGAGACCTAAAGTCTAGGGGACATTCTTTGAGGCAGTGGAAACGACATTTTCCAGAGGATTTCGTGATCCAGAGAATTGGAGAATTGTAACTTGTGTCGGACTAACTTGTTAGGAGTTCGTATTTTTCACAGAACATTTTTTAGTAAAATTCAGATTGGGGGGGGGGGGGATTTACATTCTAAAAATGGTGTTTGTACATAATTCTGAGAACTGCCCTTTCTAAATGCACAATTCTATTTAGCTTATACATAATTTAAAAGAATTCAAAGCAGAAGAGTTTTTGATGGAGCAAATGACCATTTTAAGTCTTTTCCCCCTCTCACAGGCACTATTCAGGCCCTGCATTCCCACCCTCCCACCCCGCGCCAATTATTTCATATAAGATGGTATTTCTCTATCCATTGTGTTTGCCTTCGTTTTCATAAAAACTAAAATCAGCTTTAGGATGATGAAAATAAACAGCCCAGATGCCATCTACATTGATTTTTTGGGTGTGTCCTAATGAAGTATTAATGCTCCTTATTATCTGAGCTTATTATATTGACCCAGGAATGGAAATAATAACCACTTTTGAGAGCTGCTAGTGTTGAAAAATTCACAGTAATGTTAGCACCATTGTAATCAAACTGACAAAAGGAACTTTTAAACGCATCACTACATCTAATTGCAAAGGTTCGTCATAGACTTATTAGCTATGACACGGACATTCCTGGACCAATTCTGATTTGTTTTCCAAAGTTCTTTTCTTCAACTTGACTTTCCAGGTCCACTTTGCACCCAAAGCCGTGCCAAGAAGTAGAAAACAATACTGGTCTAAGCCCTCAAATTTTCGTCCAACGAGGGATCAAGAAACTATTACTGGAATTAGCACAGCGGTGATTTTGAGAAAGAATTAGACGGGTGCCTGGGTGGCTCAGTCGGTTAAGCGTCCGACTTCGGCTCAGGTCGTGATCTCACGGTCTGTGAGTTCGAGACCTGTGTCGGGCTCTGTGCTGACAGCTCAGAGCCTGGAGCCCGTACCAGATTCTGTGTCTCCCTCTCTCTCTGCCCCTCCCCTGTTCATGCTCTGTCTCTCTCTGTCTCAAAAATAAATAAACGTTTGGGGTGCCTGGGTGGCGCAGTCGGTTGGGCGTCCGACTTCAGCCAGGTCACGATCTCGCGGTCTGTGAGTTCGAGCCCCGCGTCGGGCTCTGGGCTGATGGCTCAGAGCCTGGAGCCTGCTTCCCATTCTGTGTCTCCCTCTCTCTCTGCCCCTTCCCCGTTCATGCTCTGTCTCTCTCTGTCCCCAAAATAAATAAACGTTGAAAAAAAAAATTAAAAAAAAAAATAAATAAACGTTAAAAAAAATTTTTTTTAAAAGAGAAAGAATTAGAGTAGATTCTGGAACCACTGGTGGAAGGGAGGGAGGCAGAAGACACAGAAAGGAGTTCAGGGTGTTTTTCTGAGGCAATGCACTGAAGTAGAGAACACGGGCAGCACTGAAGAGGTTTAGGGGAGAAGACAGACTTGGTTTTCGCTTTCAGAATGAGGTATGAAAGACGCTGATTTAGAAAACTTCATCTGCAGATCTGGGATTCAAAGGAGAGGTCTGTACCGCAGGCTCTTACCCTTCTGGCAAAGCGTGATCACCGACCCCTTTGAGAACAGAATGAAAATGGTTTCTTTTTTCCCCCAAGAAAAATGGACACTCGTACATTCGAGATTTTGTATACCTTCTGAGGGGATTCACATGTCTTCCCAACGACACCCCTTCAGATAAAGAACCTCCGGTGTAGAAGGCCAGCGCCCTGGGGGCACAGACTTCTGAGCCAATGAGAGAAGGTGGGCAGGTGCAGCTGGAGTGTGGTCAGGAAAGCAGTGTCACTCTTGGCCCTAAGTCTGGGCCCGACCTTCTCGTGTCCCTGTGCCGGTCGTCCTCTGGCTGTGTCCCTCCCCACAGGGTGAGGCTCACCCAAATCCTGGGCAACTCCTGGTAGCCAAAGCTCTAGGTCCTGGGACCCTGGGATTGCACTGAGGCGGCTTTGAGGTCCCGCGTGGCCTCTTCCCCAGGTTGTCCTTTGAGGGCGGATCCCTCTGTCTACGGGGTAGCTCTTTGGTGGTGGTTGGGCAGGTAGAGGGGCTTGAATAGCAGGCAGGGATGTCCGCACACTTGGAGAGAGGTGGCGCCCAGGTGCCGCACAGAACGGAGTCTACATGGGAGAAGAAGCAGGGTTTACAGGGCTGGGCCCACTTCTCAAGATGCCATGTTTCTGCGGGAAACTCTGAGGAGACTGGTAGCTTGATCTCTTAACTTTAAAACTTCACACACAGGATCTCTCTATTCTCGCCCCAGTGTAAGGGGTGGGCCTGTAAGAAAAAGATAGCACAGGATGCCAAGGGAGGAGTGTTAAGAAGGGAAATGGCAAATATCAATGTGATTCACCAGGGGTTCTCAAAATCTGGTCCCCGGAGCAGCAGCTTCAGCAGCACCGGGGAACCTGTGAGAAATCACATGTTCACCCTCCGCGCCAGACCTACTGAATCAGAAACCCTGAGGGTGGGACCCACCGTTCCGTGTCCGGTCTCATGTGGCCACTGCGTCTTTCTATAGCAGTGGTTCTAAAACTTTAGAGGGCACCAGAATCATGGGTGAGCCTCTAAAACATATCACAAAACAAGAAAGGGAAAAGCAGAGGGAGAAGTTAGCGGGCTCCAGCCTCCTCCCCCAGAATGCCATTGGGCCCTATGGCTAAGTACCTCCCTCATCACCCCTGCCGGAGGTGCCCATTCTCTGTGTCCACTCACCCCATCTTCCAGATCATCTCTCACATCTCCTGAGCCCACCCCCTCTTCTCCATCTTCACTTCTGTGACCCTCCCTGACCCCTGGTCACCTCTCTGTTTTTTACTTCTAACTAGTCCCTATCTGATCTCACTCACTTCCAATCCATTTCCCTTATTGCTCCCAATTACATCATCATCTTGGCCTGGATGTTCCCTGAACAAAATTCATCAACAGCTCCTCAGTTCCTGTAATTCCAAACTTCTTGCCATTCAAGGACTTGACTTACAGACCTGAGTCCTGCCTACTTTTCCACTAACCTCAGCTCTTTTCTTTCTCCATGGAATCAGTCTTTCTTCCAGCCACGCTGACCTGCAACTTCCTCTTCCTAAATATTCCGGGCTCTGGCATGCCTCAGAGCCTTTGTACATGCAGACCTCTCTGCTTCCAAAGCCTCAAACACTGAATCAGCTCCTACTTATCCAACCAACCTCAATGCAGGCATCACCTCCTTTGGGAATCTTCTCTGGCCCTTTGGACTAAGCATTCTACTCAGTGCTTCCTAGAACTCAGGAGTAGGAGGGTACAGAGAACTTTCCACACTGCATCCTAATTGTGGACCTCTTCTGCTTCTTCTCACCATGATGTCAGCATCTGGAGACAAGGGAACTGTGTCTTGTTCATCTTTCTATCTCTTCTCTGTCTTCCCTCCTGCTGCTGGTGGCCGGCACACGATAAATGTTACAGAAGGAAAAAAAATCGAGTGGAGTATTTGCTCCTTAACCCATCATTTAGCATTTGAGGGCGAGTTTCTTCCTCTGGAAAGTGCTGATATTGGCAGAACGTGGAATAGAGGCTATTTTAGGAAGGATCAAATGAGGATTTGCAGGACATTTTCACACGTGGTTATCAGCCATAATCACTTACTGCCTCAAGTGTACGTGATGTTGGACAGAGATGTGGCCCATAGTCTAGGAATTTACACTCCAAGTTGGGAGATGTGACATATGTATAAAATATAAATGACATAAGGTGACGACCAACGAGCACCAATCTTGCTGGACAGGAGGGAACAGACAGATGGGGCCAAAACATTAAAAGAAGCAGATCAAACAAATCATGCGGAAGATGAACAGGTCAAGAGCGATATTCTATGGGCAGTGAGTTTGTGAGCAGGTGCGGGAAGCAGGTAGATGTAACGAGGAAAGGAGTGGCCTAGTGCTTAGACTCGAGTGAATTAAGACTGCATGGTTTTTAACCTCCTGCCCCATGCTAACTGTGCAACCTCGGGTAAATTACTTAACCTCACAGTGCCCCCACTTACTCATGTGCCAAACAGGGATGCTGACAGTTATTTCATAGGGCACTGTGAGGATTAATGACAAAAGCTTGAAAACACCATAGTGTGCCCAGCATATGTAAACATAAATGTGTATTAACCTCAGGGTGCCTGGGTGGCTCAATCAGTTAAGCATCTGACTCTTGGTTTCAGCGCAGGTCATGATCTCACAACTCATGAGTT